AATGATTAAACACTGTTCATTTGGTATAAATTTTGATATAGTGAATTATAGATGATTTTCAATTTGGTTTGAAACTTACCTCAAATTTTGGAGCAGCGTTAGAGATGACCTTACTATCACAAATTATGGCATAGATTCGAACACTTGGGCAATGAAAATTGCCAATCTAGGCCATGAACCTCCATGGGCTGGCTGCTTCTTTAGCTGACAGACATCACTAGTTTGACGGACATCACTAGTTTATACACAAAATATGCCGTAACAAAACACGACAGCAAATGAAATTTCAAAAAACAAAATGATCAATCTTTTAAAATAAGCATCAACTGCAGTAACAAAGTACAATAACTATTAATGTTCGACACCATCCGGATTGCCGCTTCTATCATCCCACACCACAGCTATCCCCTGCAGCCCCCAAACCCCCAACCTTGGACATGATGGTTATTGCAAGAACAAGAAACTCGGGCATCCTAACCATTCATATGAATACCCAAAAAAAGAGATGTTATGGCGCTAAACTTTGGAAAGAATAAATCTTTTCTGAATTTTCACATGAAATATTTGTTGCTTGGTGATATGCACTAAACTTTCAATGGGAGTAGAAGTATCAAGGCAAAAAAAAAGCAACAAAATGAAATTTATCGCCTGTAGCATTTTTATTCTTGAACATACAATTACAAAGATCATTGTTATCAATTTGGAGGATAAATGGAAAGTTTAAATCCAGTGCCTTGGTTTTCTTTCTAGGCTGCATGCTTTGCTTATGTTGCTGAATTCTTCTAGCAGTAGCAGCTGCTGATTTGGTGGTACAGTACAGGTCCATTAGCTGGAGGTTTGAAACGTGCGACAAGCCCAATGGAACTGCTTTAAGTTTACTAGTATCTTGAAGTTGCCAGAGACATCTTAAATGCTTCACACCTTATGGCATGTGTTAAGGCAGAAACGGTGACTGTGATATGTAGATCAGGAATCTGAAGTTTTGCTTTATTAAACATTGTCATGAAATTGAGAAGTGTTTCATTGGGTCCTTGACGCATCTGCATGTATGGCACGATTGTCTTCCTGATGCGCTTGCTGCTTGAAAAGAAAGCGGAGAATTTATCCTCCAAGTCTTAAAAAAAAGCTATGGAGTTGGGTTCTAATGTGGAAAATCAATCTCTAGCTACGTTAGTAAGTACCTGAGGAAAGGCTTTGCACATTACTGCATCGGGTGCAACTTGCAAATTCATGATATCTGTGTATATGTTGAGATGGTTGATGGGGTCTGTAGTCCCGTCATACTCTTTCACTCGGGGGTAATTAAACCGATCCGGTAGGGGGTACGACAATACTTCGGGGGTAAAAGGGGTGTTAGGGGTGAATCCGGCTGCTGTCTGAGATTTCTGGCGCATTCCAGCCGCNTTCATGATATCTGTGTATATGTTGAGATAATTGATGGAGTCAGTTGTCCCATCGTACTCATTTACCTGAAGATACTTAAATCTTTCTAGCAGGGAGTATGCTAAGACTACAGGGGTGAAAGAGGTGTTAGGGGTAAATCTTGTTGCCTGAGTATTTTGAAGCATACCAGCCGCAAATGTCATCCTGAATAATCCTGGCAAGATCGGCAGAATCCATCGTAATTGATCTCGAGCCCGAGGTCATATGAGGTATGCCCGAGGTTCTGTAATCATCATTGTCGGGACAGAGAGCCCGAGCTCAAGCGTCCGCCATGAGACCACCCTGTGGCGGTGGCGCTGGGTGCGGATTTCTTTGATTCAGCAACTGAGTTAACATGGCCACCTGTTGGTGAAGCTCCTCAAATGCTCCAGGAGCAACGACTGCTGGTGGATGCGTTGGTTCTCCTGATGATACCTCCTGCGGACCCGGAGGATCTTCGACGGGATGTTAATTAGCAGATGAGCTTGTTGGAAGATGTCCCGAACGTGTGTTAACCATGACCTTTGGTAGCGTTTCCTACAGACGGTGCCAATGATGCTACCAAAAACCTACACCTACTAGATCTCAAACTAGATGCTTGAACACCGCACGAACTGATCTTCAATACCTGAAACAAAGGGGTCGAGGTGTGTTCTCGTCGCTCCTTCAATGCTTAAGTTAGAGAGAGAATATATGTGTAAGGCTATATATTGGAAATTGTGTAAAAGCGTACCTGAATAATAATCATTGGTTCTGTATTTACAGATATTGGCGATGGAGCTCTAAAAGGATTCCAACCACATGTAGTTCTCATCTTTATCACGTAAGGTGTTTGCGTTATATTGAAAGAGTTATGTTTGAGTTTGAATCAAACTTGAGGTAGGTCGACAATTTGGATTAGAATAAAGGTTATAGAAAGTTACAATCAAAGTAGGATTAATATTTCTAATGGACATGAGATAAGGAAAATGGCATCGTTATTATGGAACATGACCAGTCCTATAAGACCCGACCTCAACGTGTAGTCCAACCTTATGAGACCCGGCCTCAACATATAGCCCGATCTTGTTCCATGGATAAATTGGTAGAGGTGAGCTCAGGCTACTGAGCTCAAGTTCGGAAGTGGGACAATGTTTTCTCGCATCACATATAAAAGTGTCTTATGGCATTATATGGGCCTCATTATGTAAAAGATTTGGGGGGTTACATATTTCTTATAGCGTAATTAAGCCAACCAACAAGCTAATTGATCAAACGCCCTAAAAACTATAATATTAGCGGACAACTCTCTAACTTATAGAGATGCTAATTCAAAAGTAAAAAAAAAAAAAAAAATGTATTAAACTTTAAAGAGACCCAAAAAAAAGTGTTTTTTTTCTAATTAACCCAAAAAAGAAATAATATTAATAGTAGAGGTGTACAAAAAAAAAGTCAAATCAAATCGAACCAAAATCGTAGATTTAAAACCGTTGCTTTGGGTTCAGGTTTTGATTAAAAACCGAACCAAGTCAATTGGAAATGGTTCATTAAACCCTTGAAACCAAACGAAATATTCACCCAGATTGAAAGAAAAAGATATAGTATTTATTTGTTCCTTTTATACTTCTACAAATGTATGTGCTAGTTTGCTCTTCAAGAAAATAATAATTTATGATAATATTNTCCAAGATATAGTATTTATTTGTTCCTTTTATACTTCTACAAATGTATGTGCTAGTTTGCTCTTCTGGAAAATAATAATTTATGATAATATTATTCAAAGATGGTTTAATCATATTTTTGTGAGTAATGATTTCTCTTTTAAAAAATGAATAATCTAAAATTTTTCTAAATATTTACGACAAAAAGGAAATAAAAAGATATCTAATCTTTAAACCTTTGATGCCAACGTTTTTGCATTTTTAATTTTCTGATAGTATTAATTACTTTAATCTTTAAATATTTACGATAGGAGCCGAACCACGGAGGATATAAGTTAAAAAGATATTCATGTCTATTTAGTAGATACTCAAGTTCAAAATTAATCTCTAATGAATTATATCACAACTCAATAATTTAGAAAAAATAAAAGCAGCATATGAAATATAAAACTACATGAGCACGTTCAATGGAGCTTCTGAATTTAGACGAGTTCTATACAGTCTCTCTTTTTTCCTTTGACAAAATTTATTTTTATAACTTTTAATTTATATTTCATTTTTTTATGTAGGCTGTTTGAAGCAAATGAATTATTGATATGGACCACCGATATTTTAGTATTAGTATCTACTTTTTGGTATTTATATACATTGAATTAATCTTATTGGATAACTTGTTGTTTATATGTTTTTAAATTGTGTTATGTTAATTTGTAAAAACTACGAATCAACATGTCATTAGTTGTATTTATGTAATGTTACTGTAAATGTTAAAAAATTTAATTATGCTAAGGAATCGAACAGAACCGAACTCGAACGGTTCTATAATTATACTTGAACCCTACGGTTCCATTTATTAAATACACGAAAATTTTGGTCCGCTTTGATTCTGAAGAGAATCTAACCGAATCGAACCATGTCCAACTCTAACCCCCCTATTCGACATTTTATCCCTTTTACCTTTTGCAGGTTGATGTTAGCATCGATTTTCAGAATATTGTTCAAACACATTCTCTATTCTTACTTTACAAATACACTTAATAAAATGAAGAATTCAATACTCCTTAAATTATTCAAATCATAATTGAATTAATTGACTATTGACATGTAAAAAAACATTAAATAAAAGATGAGGAAAAATCGATACACGTTTTTTTAGGTTGGCAGGTGGTGGCATAGGTGGGTAGGATAGGTGGATTGGGTGGGGTAGCGTGGGGTGGGGAAGAAGAAGATGAATTTTTTGTTTTAAAAAAAATTATTTTCTTCTCTCTTTCTTTTTTAAATTATTCTAATTATTTTATTGAGAAAATTTAGAGTTACCATTGTTCCCTTTTAATTGGTCATGTGGTCAAACTTTAATTTTTCCGGTTAACTAACGATCCTTTGGACGGAAATCGTCCAAAGGTCCTTTCACCGTGTAGGATTTAAAGGTTTGGTACCAGTGTTGCTACAAATGAAAGTAAGGATAATAACTGTGACTATTTGAAATATTTGGAATTGTGACTGGAATTATCCCTTGAATTAACTAGTATTAATGTTGAACCTACAACTTTTGTAACGAAGTTTGTGTATGAAAGGCAACGATAATTCAACCAATATATAACTAATTGAATCCATTCAGATCCTCCAATTTTTTTTGGAATTTCTTATAGACATTTTACTAGGAAAAGTGAGAATATTGAGTTTTCAATCATAAACCAATCTAAATTTTCTAAGTTTTAATCTACAA